GGCCCCCCATGTTCCTGCTCCCGCAGGGCTGGAGCATCTGCTTTTCAAACTGAAGTAAAATGAAGCCATTTTTGCAGTTTTGGATTTTGAGACAGGGGCTCACCGAGTAGCCCAGATGGACCCCAGGCGGTGCGACCCTGGCCTGTTTTCCCTTTTCATTTTGAGACAGAATCTCTGGCTGAGTCGCTAAGGTTCAGCCCAGGCTAGGGCTGAACTTGGGATCTTCCCACCTCAGCCTCCCAAAGTGCTGAGATTACTGGCGAGCAACAGACTCCCAGCTGGAGGAACTTTGGGGAGTATTAAATAATAGTCAACTGATCGTTATATTTGGCGACAACATTAAAGGTGTGTAGAAATGACCGAGTCCAAGAAATATTTTAATGGATCTTCGTGATCTCCCAGCTCCTTCATGTTACATGAGGAAGATGAACTGGGTTGAAGGTAGTTAACCGTAAAGAACAGTGTATGCCAACAGCCATTTCGTGTAATTTCTTGGCTTTTATTGGCCCTGTGTTGATTTACTAAACACTGCGTGGAGCCCTTCGTAGGCCTGTGGGAAAGCCTGACGGACTCTCCCCCGGAAGCCTGCAGTTCTGCACAGAACTGGTTTTATAGCTAGGCCCATTGTTTAGGCCCGGGACAGATGGGGCATTAGCTCAGTGCAGAAGCTTGGTTTGTGCTTTGCAACTTTTACTAACTTAGGGAGCATCTCCTGTGCTTGTCTCGGGAGGTGCCTACTGGGGACAAAGTGAATCTTTCTGCAGCTTGCTGTCTGGGAGGGAGACCGTGAACAGGTGATGCGCAAGATGGAATCCGAGCGCGGATTGCTGGGAGCAGGGTGCGGCCTCGCGGGTCTGGGAGAATCACACAGGGCTTCCTGATGTTGGGCCTAAAAGGAGGACTTCGTGTGTCACACACACACAGAGCATATTAAGAATATAATAACATATTTGAGGGCTTGCAGTAAGTCAGGCACAAAGTGCCTTATAGGGATTAACAGAGTGATCTGAGAACCCACTTCCCTTGGGAATATTTGGAAGTCTGTGGGAGCCTTTTGAATTGTGGAGAAATGTCGTCACGATGGACAGTTAGTAGAAGGGCGGGGCAGTGTCTAGTGTCCTGTAGCTTGGGCCAGCCCAGCCCAGCAGGCGGTTCTCCCCGCCACAGTGTTAACAGGGCTCTGCATTTTGGTGAGAAGGGCTGTGAAAACCTGACCAATCCCAAGAAGGAGGGACGGTTGTTATCCTGCTGTGTGGTCCTAGAGCCAGGCTGAGAGAAGTGCTTTGCCCCTGTCATTCTGCTAGTGACTGAGGGATCCCTGGGTCCCACCCCCACCCCCTGGAATCGGGGATTGAACTCTGACCCTTGCACTTGCCAGGGAAGCGCTTATTCTACTGAGCCATCTCCTGGTCCCTGGGATCCTGGATTTGAACCCAAGCAACGGTTCCAGAGCCCAGACTCTTAAAGTCAGCTTCGCTGCCCTTCTGTCATAAAGGGGGAGGGCACGGCACATTGAAAGGCAAGTGGCTATACTTGGTCTCACCAGCCTGGGAATGCTAAGTGCAGACAGCCGCACAAATAATATCGAGAAATAATAGGCACAAGTTTTATTATTGCTGGATCTGAAAGATTTTTTTTTTAAACCAAAAGATATTAGAAATTTAAATTTCTATCAAAAATACAAAGAGATGGGGCCACAGAGATAGCTCCGATGTCTAAGTAGTACCTGCCTAAGCAAATGTAAGGACGGGGGTTTGATCTCTGGTCCCAAATGCTGTGCTGGCCCCACCCCTAGGCATATCAAGCTGGCCACGAAGACCTGCATGGTGGTGCACGCCTGCTTAGTGAAACCCTGTACCAAATACATTAAAAAAAACAACCCCCAGAGAAGCCAGGTGTGGTGGGATATACCTGTAGTCCCAGCAAGGCTGAGGCTGAGGCAGGCCAGCCTGGGCTACATAGTGAGCTCAGATGAGATTGGGTGCGTTCAGGGTGGGATGGCCATAGTGAGTTCAGAGCTAGCTTGACTTACATAGTGAGACCCTGTCTCAAAACAAAACAAAAACAGGAAAGCAAAAACCAAATCAATCCATCTATCAATCAGTCTAACAAACAGAAAGGTAATACACATTTCATGGTGGTTTCCCAAAGTCTTCACATTAAGAAAACAAGAACAACACATAAACCAAACCTTAAGGATTGCTAATTTAGCCGTCATCCAACTATAGTGCATCTGTTTTCCAAAAGCATCCTTTAGGAGTGCAGAGATTTGATCCGACTGTCATTCAGTAAGCAGTAGAGAATACTGGTTCAGGCCTGAACCCAGAGAGGTCATCTTAGGCGCGGGCTGTAGATTGTTTTGCTTTGTGGTAGGGATTGAACCTGGGTTGGTTGGTTGTGTGCTGAGCTTTTAATAGCTGTTCCCTCCGTCCTTAATTTTTTTCCATTTTGAGGCAGGGTCTTATTAGGTTTTCTAGGTCAGCCTGAACTTGTGATCGTCCTGCCTCTGCCTATATGAGTAGCTGGAGTTACAGGCCTGTGACACTGCATCAGATTAGAATATTAAGGATAAAGCCATCGCCTTGCTGGGGGTACCCCCTGAAGGGCTCAGTCACATGTCCTTCCTGAGTGTGTCACAGCACCCACCATTTGGTGGCTATACACAGACCAGGCGCAATGCTGCAGGTCAGGGTTAGTGGATGCACCCTTCTGCACTGAGTAGGACAGCAGGGAACAGCTGGCACTTTGTCTGGTCTCCATCAGTCCTTGTCAGAGGTGTTAGAAATGCAGATCAAGGGCTGGGGAGATAGCGCAGTAGAATAAGTGCTTGCCTGGCAAGCACAAGGTCCTGAGTTCAATCCTCGGTACCACCGAAAAAAAGAAAAAAGAAATGCAGATCATGGGTCCCACCCACTCCTACTGAGTGAGAACACCTCCGACACTGGAGCCATTGGTTGCTTTCTGCTGTTTTTTCCTCTAACTCTGGTGTGATGGCCTAATCATGTGACAGTGTACCTAATGATACCCTGAGCATCACTCAGGCAGATGACACTTTAACCCAGGGATTGTATTTTATTATTTATTTATTTATTGTCTTTTGAGACAGGGTCTCACTGTGCAGTCCAGGCTGCCCTTGAGCTTACTTTAGCAGTCCTCCTGCCTCAGCCTCTGGAGTGCTAGAATTACAGGTATGTGCCACCACACCTAGCTCTTTTCTTTTAGAAGAGAAACCACAAAAACAGTGACACAGAGGTTCAAAACAATACAGTGAGATTAACAATGATTAATATATTGTGTGTTGTTATCTTGAAAGTACTTATTCAGATTACAAGATACATGCATACATATTTGATCAAAGACTATAAGCACAAACCTTTTTTAAATGAACTAAAAGCAGTAGTATAACTATTTTATCTATCGTGTGTGTGTGTGTGTGTGTGTGTATTTTTTTCTTTTCTCTTTTTTCTCTTTTCATGGATCGCAGCTGTTGTTTCCTTTTGAGCAGTTTCTTTCCCTTTCACAGTATTTGTTGTAGATTTTGGATCTTTCTTACTTAACCCATGGATTCTTGAATAAATTTGATAAAATTTTTTTTTTTTTTGCGGAACCAGGGATTGAACCCAGGACTTTGCACTTGCCAGGGAAGCACTTATTCCACTGAGCCATCTCCCCGGCCCCTAAAATTGTTTTTTTTAATATTT